TTTTTTATTTTCCTTTAAATTTTTTTTTTATTATTATTTTCCCGCACCCCTGTTGTCCTTTCCGTGTAGCAAAGCATCAGTAAAGCCGGGGCGCTGCAACGCTTTGGGGCCTACACGCAGTGATTAATTGCAACTTCTTCAACTTTCCTCTTCTGGTGTTTGTGCAAGATCAGAAAAGATGAGCCCGTGGGCAAATGTCAGAGGGAACTTGCCCATTTTTTCCTGTCTCTCGCAAAGCTCTCCCCTCAGCCTGGGGGGCTCGCCTAGGGCCAGAGCCGGGGGAGGCTGCTGAGATCTCTTCTGCTCTCGCAAGGAAACGCTGAAGCACGGATCATATTGTCTCTCTGCGCTTCTGGAGTCGTGTCTGGTTCTCAGTTGTCACTTTAGATGGTTGGCTGCTCCTGTTTTTCTGTGTAGCGGGAGTAGTATGTTTAAAGATTCAATTAGTGTTTTGCAAATCAAGCAGTGAAGTTACTTCGTTTAATTAATTATGTTGCATTTAATTAGCAGAGAAAAATCAATGCTGTTTTGTATTTTTTATTGTAAGGAATAGCTAGGCAGTTTCCTACTGCGGAACGTAGGGTAGCAGTCCGAATTGGGATGTGCAGGGTACAGTGTTCAGGCTTTCCAGGACAGCAGCCACCAATTTAGGAAAGATTCCTGTTTCAAAGGGGTAAAGCTAGTAGCAGTGCTTCCTTGTTTTGATCATTCGATCCTGGTTTGTTCTGGCTTCTGCGCTGCACTGTATATGAATATGTTCTCCTGTGGTACAGGTTCTGGAGCAGCCTCCAGGGATAAGCAGACTGGCTGCCTGGCAGCCAGCTTTTAAGTGCAGTACGTAGGCATGTTTCCAGCTCGTAGCGCTAAGTTACTGTCTAACAAGTGTGCATCACATCATGGGACAAATGTTATTCCCGAAATATCATAGGTTAATCTGATGCACGGTCCCTTGCATAGTATCGCAACATAACGCTTTGCTTGGGGATTCTGGCTATGTCTTCTCAATGCTTACTGGTATATTGCTGCAACTGTTCGTTCGGGAAGCGGGTGACTGAGCAAGGAAGGCGTTAGTAGCATATACAGACCTGGGGCCAGCTCTAAGATAATTGCCACTTGTTTATGCTAGAGGTGAATTTGGCTTGGGATTTTGGTAAATGCTGATAGCGCTGTAGACAGTAATTACAGATGCATAAATAAGTGATCACATTTTGTTTATTCGCGTGCAGTAAATAACCCTGTGAGAATAGTAAATATAACTCCACATCAGCGAAGCAGCGTGAAGAGTTCAAACGCGGGAAGATGACTCTGTAGACACACACAAACGCAGTGTGGTTCCATAAACAATAGAACAGAAAGGCCAAAAATACCATACAAAAATCATACGCTGCGCATCCTAGAGACCCGACCTTGCAACACACTGAACTCCCATTGAAGAACTCAAGACATCATGCAGGATCCAACCCCAGGTCAGTGCTGTAAATGTTCAGTTTTGAAGATGCAATGGGTGAAGCCTTGATGTGGAGGCATTCTTTCTAGTGGGTGTGTATCGTAGTGATGATTTCCTGAACAAGAGAAACCGTAAATCTGGAAAACTGCCCTCTTTCAACTGTTTGTACTTTCGTTTCTTTAAGGAGGGTATTTAAAAAGAAAAATCCAGTCCAAATGTAAGCTGGAGGAGAAGAGACTGGGAAGGGGAGGGAAGGAGGGCTGGAAGCTAGCTGCTTCAATGCAGTACAGTCTTGATCACTGTTTCTGAGTGTTTGAACTTCTGATTGACACAAGCAGTTTGGTTTATAGCATCACCAAATAAACACTGTCTATAATACCGCAGTAATTTTGCGATAATATTTGTCAAAATGTATACAGTAGCAGAACAAAGGATACAGAGTCATGAAACAAATGCAGGTCTAAGGTCTGCGTATTTGTGTACATATGAATTTGTTTTTTTCTTATGGGAACGGAAATACACGTGCAAAACCCATTATGCTGTAAATAAAATAGACTGTTGCCTGATAACAAGCCATCATGACAAACTTCAGAATGGGCTTGGGCTTTGGTTTGGGTCTCATGTCCATCTAGTCAAGCTGCTGGGAAAAAAAGTGTTACCTTAGAGGGTTAGATCGTTAGAGATCTTATGTACATCTGCTCCCTGGGTCCTTAAATGAAACATCTTGTTGACACTTATAAAAACCAATAGTAAACGAATCGAGTGAACAGCTACCATCCTGTCCACCAAGGAAGAGTGGACAAGGCTCTCTGGAGCCTCTCAGTACTGCTGTTGAATCAACAGAAGGGTCACTGTAGAGCAATTCAGAGCACTGCTTTGGAGTGAAGGGGATCCATCTGGTAATGTAGAGTACGACAATCTATTTTGTTTTCACAAGTATTAGACCCCCTCTTTTGTTAGGCTCTGACCAGGAGACTTCCAAATACTTCTTCAAAGCAGACCCTTCGTTAACTTGAAGAGAAGGAATGGCATCCAGTGTTTGTTTTTCTTTACTCTAGAACTGTGACTTTTCGTCTTCACTTTCACAAAATATTTGCTCTCAGCCTAGTTAGTCTTATAGTTTTGATCTAAAATCCAAAATAGAGATGCCAAGAAAGAGTGGAGAAGATCGCAGATTCTGCTTGGGTTTCCTGTTACCATGGCAATACATGGATTCCTGTATTTATTTACCTGATGGATTATATGCTCCAGGGAACTGAACTGTTCTGCATCATTCAGGGAGAATAAGGGAGCAGTTAGAGACCGTCAGGTCTAAAACAAAAGCTCTTCCATGAAGCAGGTCCATTCAAGAATGCCCTTTATTAAAACCAAAGAACGTGTGGGTGCCATACTTTGAAGATTCATGCTACTTGATGTTTTCAATCTTAATCTTGTGATTTCTTGCGGAGTTTTCACAACCCTTGTAAGCTTGCTTTTTCAATAGGTTTCTGCTAAAGGTTGTTTGAGATAACTGTTTCAAGCGTTAGCTACCTGGCGTGCAGTCAGTTATCTCTATTCTGCTCAGGACTCAATTGGATGTATTTCTTCCCAGCAGAGTGAAAATGCTGTTGTTTTCACCTTTTACTCCTAAGTGTTTCACTGATAAGCAAATTCATCTCTGAAGTCTCATCTGTTAGTATTGGTGGTATAAACTCTAGGGGTAATCCCAGGAGAACTCTGTTCTTAAGGAGAATGGCAAACTAGAAGAAACAATTCAGGAAGTCATACTATTCCCGTCTTCATAGGAACTTACTGTTTGTCCAGAGTCCTCCATGCCAATTTACATGATTCTGAATTGTGCATCTGTGAGTGTGTTTGTACTAACGTGAAGTTTCCTGGGGATTTTATTTTTGGAGAAGATATATTTTGAACTGTCATCATCTCTTGGATCATTCTATGGAAATTATCCTGCATATTTTCTACACCTGTACAGTTTTCTACAGTTTCTTTTTGTCTAAGTTATGCTTAGGTGAGTTACTAGGCAGAACTCTTTCTCAGTTCAGTTATGCGTTCACCACTGTACCATGTTCTTCAGTATAAACGAGGGCTTTCAAAGTAGAAATTTGACAGTTGACCAGTGTAAGTGCTGCTCTACTGGTGGTTTTCAAGCAAAGTAAAAATCCTCTCTGAAATGTCTTGTCCTGGAATCTGAAAATTAAACTCTTTGAAAGACTCGCTTCACAACCCTAAAGGCAATTCAGTTCCAATTCTTCCTTACTTGGGCTTTTAGCACCTACTGCGTTCTGCTCAGATAGTGACATCGCATGTGTGTTTTATTGTAACTTGTTTAAAAAGTATGAACAATTCAGTCTAGTTTTGTGAGAGGCAAAATACAGGTACAAGATGATCACTATTTAGTGTTCCCTGCAAAACGGCACAAAGAGCAGAATTTTACATTTTTTCATAAGTCGTCGTAGGCTTGACAGGTGTTCTGTTGCGTAGCTTCAGGACTGGAGTGCTCAGAAATGCAGCCTGCTGCAAGACTGAGATGGTCAAAGCAGTTGTAAGAAGGACGTGGACAAGGAGTGGAGAAAAAAGACAGCTGAAGTCTACTGGAATGTGAAGCAGCTGGGTTGTGCCTTAGTCAGTGAAAAAGCAGAAACTGGAAACAATTGCTAAATTTATTTTCAGCGCAAGCAATCGTTTTCCTTGAACCGCAATGACTAAATATATCTGTTGGTGTGATTTTTATGTGGTGGTAACTCTTACTGGCTCTTGCTAACCTCCTGGCAAGCAGAGAGATGAGCAGAAGTTCACTGTCAGTCGAGAGCGTAACACAAATGTCCCTCATCTAGGTCTGTTGCTTGACTTGCAGAGAATATTGCCTATTTGTAAGGGACCTGCAGGCTGTCAGCATGGCTGTACTTGTTGCAATGTATTGCATGAGTGGATGAAACCTGGGTATTTGTTTCTAGGGAAGGGACTCAATCTATAACTGCTTTTTTCAGGTTTCCTTGGGGTTTTGTTCATCTTTTGGGAAGTTTTGAATTGCAGTTGATACATCACCTGATATTCTAATAACTCTATCTGTAAGTGCAGATGGACTCTGATGCAAAAGTATGGGTCTTTTTTTTGAAAAACCCAACATTAATGCCTTATTTATTCCAAAGTTGAAACCCTGTGGGTAGAATTGGCGAAAGGAGCTGTATTGTTGACTTACAAATCCTTTGAAAGGAGAGCATTCAATTCAGAAACTTACAGCATCATAACTGCAAGTGAAGTCTTAGCTTTCTAGACATTGTTTTAAAGAAACTAGAGAGATGTTATACCTTTCCTTGGCAGAGGCATTTGACAGTTAATCAGATTTAATTCAAGCATTCAGTCATTATGTGTATTACAGGAGATGTCTAGGCAGTTCTCAGTTGGGCTACTGAGAGCTGGTAGCTGGAATTGTTTGTTAACGTAGCACCAAATTTGGAAGATCCTTGTACCCCAGCAAAGGTAAGATGATAGAGAGCATCTCCCATCTTTGTGCCAGATAAAACTCCAGAAACTATGTAGTATATTAAAATCAAACATGGAAGGAGTATTAAAATCACAGAGCTATTGCAAGAATATTCACTTGTGTTATTTCTCAATTTTGTCTAAACCAAAGCTTGGCTTTCATGGTGTACAGCTGAGAAATACAGGAGGTGGGATGAGGGGATGGTAATAGAGATCAGTGTGTCATTCTCAGTGTTTTAGTAGAGTTTAGAGGAAAAGGGAGAGCAGGTTGGAAGAAAACTAGGTTTATTCGCCTTTGCAAATATGAATTTGCAGCCCCAGAAGTCCAAGGTGTATAAAAAGGTAGCCAGAGAAGCAAAAAGGGGCATCACAAGCAGAGATGTTGATGGAATGGTTAGAAAGACCAGAAAACGAGCGAGAGGATGCCCAACCCACAGATGTTAGAAGAGGAGGGAATGGTGGGCTAAGTTGCTTGCAAGTAGAGCAGATAGGAACAGACAGACGGATGACAAAAAGGGAAAACGGACAAGGAGGAGGCTCCCGGCGGCTTTCACAGAAGTCTGTTCCAAGGCAAAGAGACAGAAGATTAATTTCAGCAATCCGGAAAAGCTGCAGGAATCCTGCAGGTTGGGACATGCTGCCAAAAGAATGTTCTGCAGTTCTGCTATTCATGTTACTGCAGCCTGACAAATTTAGAGCTATATTACCTGACCTATAGCATCCAGTCTTAAAAATACATATCCGATCCTTTCATATGGTGCATGGCATTGATGCTGATAGAGCAAACAATTTCATCTATGTGAGACAGAAATTATGTCCTTGCATACTCTGTGAAGCAACCTGAGAAAGCTGATGGATCAGATTATTGGTCTACTTTTATGTGTGTTGCATATTTCAGGTAAAGCTCTTCAGCTTTGAAACAGTCTCTTGATGTTAAATCTGTTTGCTGTTTTAGTTGCTACCATAGCTCACCTTCTCTGGAGTCTAAGATAATATTTTCATGTTGAGAGCAAGGAAGAAGTGAGTAGAAACAAGCATAAGAAAAAGATGGTCTGTATGCGAGCATTCACTTACTTAGTGTTGTGGGAGATACGATATCGGTGGTATTTGGGAGAATCAATTCTCCTACACTTGCTTTCTATTTTATCATATTTAGGAAAGTAATGTAAAGGATTGGAGAATTGACAAGAGCTGTATGGAGATTCTAAGCCTTGGCTAGCATTTTGGTTTCACGTTTCTTTCTTTTTTTTGGTTCCCCTTTTATACCACTGAGAGAGTCAGTTGAGCAGGGGTGGCACCCAAAGGAGCTATTTCTTAATTATGGGGCTGAGGCTCTTTGAATTAAGCAAATGCATGTTTTGCATTATCGTACTTTGCCTGGGTGACAGCCTCTGCTGCTTGGTGTAGAGCTTTTCTGGTGTCATGAAAATACTGTGCATTTTGTGATTCAAGTTAACGTTTTGGTGTGGCCATCAGCGCCCCTGAGGAAATACTAATTCCTTATTCTGCTGAGGGAGAAAGGTCAAAGCTTGCTTG